AATAAAATAAATGTAATTATTTATAATAAGTGTTATCAATTCTACAAATAAAAAATTAATTCGAAAAGTTTTTAAAGCTAAGCAGTTTATTTGACTCTAATTTATCTTTATAAATTGATGAAATAACAGACTAGAATACCTTTAATATCGCTAATTCATTTTGCTAATTTATACTTGTACTGTCTTGATAATTCATCATAGATATAAGACACAGTTGATCTATTAGAAGAGTTAACATCCATATATTGATTTGCCAACTAGATACATTCAGGAATACCCTTAGCAAATTCAGGCGTAATCCATTGCATATTGGTTTTATAACATCATAACGAGGTAGTCTTCTTGTAGACATTTTAGTTATAATGATATCGAAACTATGTCTGCAGCTAAGGCATATATATAGTCGTTTGCTTAACACCCCAGGGTAAAACACTGCAAATACCATATGAATCATCATTCCTTCTAGGTAATTATAGACCTACAATATAAGATATAAGATCACCATTAGTATATTGATTTAACAATATATTACTACTATAATATGGGGTCTTTACCTTGAAAATGACCTTACGGTACATAATACCGTAAGGTCATTTTCAAGGCAAAGACCCCATATATTTATCTACAGCTGTTTTGACATGCGATAAATTTTGTATGATTATCAGCAAATTTTGTTAATATACTTTCATTACTAAAAAACAATTAACGAATTTTTGCTGATAATTATAAAGATTAATTGCATGCTCTACTAATTTTCAAAACTGCTATAAGTTCCTATATGAACTTATGAAGACTTCCTTCACTTTCAACTATATTCAATTGGAATTCAATGAGCAAAATTCCTCTTCACCAATATTTGAATACTATTTAATCTATTGAATTGATTGTATTATAAGACGTGGCTTTGGGTTTAAATCTTTTAATGCAATCATCGATATTCTTATTACACTTGCTCATTATTGGATTATTTTCTGAGAGCTACATATACAATACCAAGCATAAATATATTGCAATTTGCATTATGAATTGGTGAGTATAATAAAAAAATTTAACTCTCATACATAAAAAAACAAGAGAAATTATAATTATCACTTGCTATGTGAATAAGATTACTACCATATATCATTCACTTTCAGGTGGGTTGATAAAGAGCCATAGTAGATTTCAATAAACAACTAGAATTCGAACAAAATTATGGACAGGTTTAATATAAATATCTAGTTAGTTCTAGTCTATAAAGTGTTGTAATTTAAGATCAAGACTTACACTAGATATAGTAAACCTCTATAAGTGCATGCTCTTGAGACCAAGCTTTAACAACGTGCACTTAGAGATCAATAGGAGAAAGTACATTTATAGAGGAATTTATATATTTGGGTTAGAACTTGAGCATGCATTTAGAGAGGATATGCACTTATAAAGAGTGCACTTAGAGGTTTTACTGTAATACGTATGGATAATATGATGGTGAGGATGCATATGATTGGATGTCAACTAGCTGACGCACCTTCCATGTCATGTTACTAAATTATTGGGGTGCGTAAATGATCTATATCAATTCCGCAAATCCGCGCATATGATTTAATTTATATTATATTGTATATAGTTTAAAATTATTTATTATTTAATTTAATTTTATTATATTGTATATATTTATTATTTAATTTAATTTGTATTATATTGTATATAGTTTGTATATAATTTGTATATAGCTTAAAAGTAATTTTATCAAATTAATTGTATATAAAATAAAAGTATTTTAGTAATTAATCGTAAAAAACTTTTATAAATTATATTAATAATTAAATTATAACTAAATTAAGATTAAGACTAGGGTTAAGGTTAAGGTATAGGGTTAGAGTTAGGGTTAGAGTTAGATTTAAGAAGGTTTTAGGTAGGTTTACAATAGGTTTAAATTTAAAATTTAATATTTATTATATTGTTATTATTATATTAATATTTATAATATTGCAATTTATTAATAAATTAAATACAATATATATAAGTTAATTGTAAATATATTAAATATTAATAAATACTTAAGCTATAAAACCTATAACGTAAAAATATATAAATAATTTAAGACTATTAATATGACTATTTAATATTTAGACTATAAAAATTATGATGTTAAAACATACAAACAATTTAAGACTTATATACTAATTAATTAAAAACGAAAATTAGATATAATTAAAAACTAAAAAAATTGAGAACACGCCCCCAGAGCAGCACCTGGGTCGGAGAGCTAGAAAACTTAAAAACTATTATTTAATAAACTTAAAGTTAATATTATATTTTAAAAACTTAAATACTAATTAATTAAATAACGAAAATTAGAAATAATTAAAAACTAAAAAAATTGAGAACACGCCCCCGGAGCAGCGCCCGGGTCAGAGAGCTAGTCTCTCCAATACTAAAGGGTGATTGTTGATCATAGACAAAATGTACATAATACCACCTTAAATGCTACATAGAAACTCACTTCACGAGTTTCCATTTACATAATATACACTACTTCGTAGTGTATATTATTTATATAATTTAATTTAAAGTTAATGTTAAATGATTAACGTTAAATAGATAATGTTAAATTAATAACGTTAATCATTTAACATTAATGTTAAATAAATAACGTTATATATTTAACGTTAAATAAATAACGTTAAATAAATAACATTATTTATTTAACATTAAATAAATAACGTTATGTTTTATCATTATGTTAAAGTATATAACATATTGCACATTACATTTAATAAATTTACAGTGCGATACGTCATATATATTTAAATAACAATAAATAAAAAAATGTAATGTGTCATATGTGATTAACGATCATATGACGTGCATCACATGTTGTGCGTTAAACCCAAGTCGGGCTCAAATGCATCTAATCCGGGTTTATTTAAACCCAAGTCGGGTTCAAATAAACCCGATCTGGATCCCAATTCGGGTATATTTGAACCTAAGTCAGGTTTAAGTGAACCTAAGTCTTACAAGATCATGCGACTTGACCGATTGGAAAATTGGTATAAAGGGTGTGACCAATCATAAATGTGATAAATAAGCATTTACTATACTATACTGAAACTTAAAATTATTAAAAATATTTTTATTATAAATTTATTATATATTAATTATATTATAATTATATTTTAAAAATATTATAATTACTAATAATAATTTAATAATAAAAATATAATTAAAATATTTTAATTATATTTTTATTATGTAATTATAATAAGAGTAATTCTAACAACCATTCAGGATGATTTTATTAAAAACTATCCCGGTTATACGATCTACAAATCAACCAATAAAATTACAAGGTTGATTTTTATATTAAAATTTATACACATAGTAAAAAAATTTATTATTGTCGTATAATATATATTATCGTATAACAAAGCTTTTTAAAACATCAAACATAATTAACCTAAAGTTTATCTCAATTACGGTTAGAACCTCTCTAAACCCTGATTTGCTATGAAAGAACCCATATCTAACTTTAAACTTTAGCTAACCCTAACCCTAACCTCTAAAATACCCACTAACCCTAATCTCTAAACTAACCACTAGCAACAAGAATCACGATTACACACAACACCAACAACAGCCAAAAGACACATGGACCAGAAAAATAAAACGCAACAAGCAATCACCCAAGTGGAACGACTATAATTACAACACCAAACGACGACGCCAATTACGACTCAACGAAAATGCCAATAAAGACGTTAACTACAACACCAACTACAACACCAACTACGGCACCAACGACGGCACCAATGACTACACCAACTACAACACCAAAGACCAGAAACAACGTCACAAGTGAAATGGTATAACGTTAATTCGCAAAGACTCTAAAAAACTAATAGCAATGAGCCGATATTAAAACGCCAATAAAAAATAACGCCGGCCGCCAAGAACGACATGTATCTACGAAATGTACCAACGAGCGACGACACCAGTATATGACGAAATCAACACCCAGATAACTACCGACAAATGACAAAACAACAATGAGACATATAAACTAAAAAAAAAAAACTAGTTAATAGAAAGAAGAGGAGGAGAAAGTAACAAGGACAAAAAAAAACCAATACTTATAAGCAGTAACACCAGTATACAACAAATGTAACTACACCGGCAAATGATGAAAAGACAACCTAATAATGAAAAAGACTGGTGAGTAAAAGAAAAAAGTAAAAGTAGCAAGAACAAAGAAAATTCAATACTTATATAACTAACTAATGATGCGCAGCTCTATAAAAAAAAGAAAATAAAGGAAACTGATTAGCGAAAGAAAAAAAATAATGTAAACAAAAAAAATAATACTTATATGCTGATCCGATTTGTGTAACTGACATATGTTATGGATGATATTTAATAAAATCATCCGGGATGATCTTCATAAAATCTCTTATAATAATTTAAAATTAATTTTATAATATATTTAAAATATTTTATTATTATTTTTAAAATAAATTTAATTATATAATATACTTAAAATGTTTTATTAATATTTTTAATATAACTTGATTTCATATTTTTATTTTATTTAAAATACTTTTAAAATGTTTTTATTATAATAAAAAAATATATTTATAAATACAATATAAATTGCTTATTTTAAATATTTAAATTTTCTCATATTTAATTGAATACAAATAATATAAAATAAAAAATAAAAACATATTGTCTCTAAAGTAACCATTCCACTAAAGTCTTGTTGGCAATATTCATAAACTTGAATTATTTAATTTGTGTACCTGAATTAATAATTTTTTTATACCTACTAATTTAATTTGAATAAAACAATAATAATTAGTAAATATTTATGAAATTAAATTGATTAATTTAAATACTTGAAATTTTTATACTTATATCCTAAATTGATACAATAAGAAACTTGAATCGCACATTTCATAACTTATACTAAAATGGTAATGATAGGTGACTCGGTGGCCTAATCATATAAATCTTACTTAAGTCACATAAATGCGACAGTGGAAGTGTAAACGTAGCCATTTGAACCGGTTAAAATAACATACTTGTAATCAAAGAAATTGGAAGTGTAAACATATCAGTAGTAGTGTCAATGCAGCAATTTAAACCTGAATGACCTAGGAATAGGAGCATAAACATACTAATGGCCATGTAAATATACTAATAGCAGTGTAAAGGTAGCTTCTGGAGCGTCAACATTGCTAAATTAAAAATGTATTTAAAATATCAAAATGATCAAAGCAATAAAGGAAGGAATTCAATTCCATTCCATCATTAAATAAATAATTCGTTCTATTTTTGATTAAATAAAGTATATACTTATCTGAATATTCCCTTGTGAATTGTCTTTAGAATTTGACTTGTAACTTTAACAACCCTTTTCGAGACTCAATTTGACGGACTGAATTGACTTGCAACTTCGATTTGGCCTATTAAAACTCGAGTTGTAAAACGGTTGTGGAATCAGATATTGCCATTCATATTGACTATTTGTGGAAGTTGTGTAAAGAACGAGACTTTTGATCGGTCACTAGACTCTGTTAATTCATTATGTGAACTTAAAGTTATCACTGATATCACTTGGTCATCGTCCACTTTTACATCATCAGCCTTCACCTTCCTTAAAATCATTATCCTTAACAACATCGCCATCACATATTGAGATCAAAGCATTAGTTTTATATCGTTATATTGTCCAATTAGTCTTTTAAAGATTACAAAAGACCTACTTCACTTACCGAAAGATTGTTGGAGTTAAATTGGCCCAGTGTTCATATTATTCTATCGAGCTCTTCCATCATCATTTACAGTACCCGGGTTAAGATTACTTTTTGTATTTAATACTTCAATGCAAAATAAAAAAAATAATTAGCACATATCAATATGCATAAACTTGAATCGATTAGTTTAAATATTTGAAAAAAATTTTTATACTTATCTTCTAAATTGACGCGAATAAGAAACTTAAATCGCTCATTTTAAGTACCCGGGTTAAGATTACTTTTTGTATCTACTAATTCAATACAAATAAAAAATAATTAGTACATATGCATAAACTTGAATTGATTAGTTTAAATATTTGAAAGAAATTTTTATACTTATCTTCTAAATTGACGCAAATAAAAAACTTAAATCGCTTATTTTAAGTACCCGGGTTAAAATTACTTTTTGCATCTACTTCAATGCAAAATAAAAAAAATAATCAGCACATATCAATATGCATAAACTTGAATCAATTAGTTTAAATATTTGAAAGAAAATTTTATACTTATCTTCTAAATGACACAAATAAAAAACTTGAATCGCTCATTTTAAGTACCCGGGTTAAAATTACTTTTTGCATCTACTTCAATACAAAATAAAAAAAAATAATTAGCACATATCAATATACATAAACTTGAATCGATTAGTTTAAATATTTGAAAAAAATTTTTATACTTATCTTCTAAATGACGTGAATAAGAAACTTGAATCACTTATTTTAAGTACCCAGGTTAAAATTACTTTTTGTATCTACTACTTCAATGCAAATAAAAAAAATAATTAGTACATATGCATAAACTTGAATCGATTAATTTAAATACTTACTTATCTTCTAAATGACGCGAATAAGAAACTTGAATCGCTCATTTTAAATACCCGGGTTAAAATTACTTTTTGCATCTACTTCAATGCAAAATAAAAAAATAATTAGCACATATCAATATGCATAAACTTGAATCGATTAGTTTAAATATTTGAAAAAAATTTTTATACTTATCTTCTAAATTGACGTGAATAAGAAACTTGAATCACTTATTTTAAGTACCCAGGTTAAAATTACTTTTTGCATCTACTACTTCAATGCAAATAAAAAAAATAATTAGTACATATGCATAAACTTGAATCGATTAATTTAAATACTTACTTATCTTCTAAATGACGCGAATAAGAAACTTGAATCGCTCATTTTAAATACCCGGGTTAAAATTACTTTTTGCATCTACTTCAATGCAAAATAAAAAAATAATTAGCACATATCAATATGCATAAACTTGAATCGATTAGTTTAAATATTTGAAAAAAATTTTTATACTTATCTTCTAAATTGACGTGAATAAGAAACTTGAATCGCTTATTTTAAGTACCCGGGTTAAGATTACTTTTTGCATTTACTACTTCAATACAAATAAAAATAATAATTAGTACATATGCATAAACTTGAATCGATTAGTTTAAATATTTGAAAGAAATTTTTATACTTATCTTCTAAATGACACGAATAAGAAACTTGAATTGCTTATTTTAAGTACCTGGGTTAAAATTACTTTTTGCATCTACTACTTCAATGCAAATAAAAAAAATAATTAGTATATATGCATAAACTTGAATCGATTAGTTTAAATATTTGAAAGAAATTTTTATACTTATCTTCTAAATAACGCGAATAAGAAACTTGAATCACTCATTTTAAGTACCCGGGTTAAAATTACTTTTTGCATCTACTTCAATGCAAAATAAAAAAAATAATTAGTACATATCAATATGCATAAACTTGAATCGATTAGTTTAAATATTTGAAAGAAATTTTTATACTTATCTTCTAAATAACGCGAATAAGAAACTTGAATCGCTCATTTTAAGTACCCAGGTTAAAATTACTTTTTGCATCTACTTCAATACAAAATAAAAAAAAATAATTAGCACATATCAATATATATAAACTTGAATCGATTAGTTTAAATATTTGAAAGAAATTTTTATACTTATCTTCTAAATGACGCGAATAAAAAACTTGAATCGCTCATTTTAAGTACCCAGGTTAAGATTACTTGTTGTATCTACTAATTCAATACAAATAAAAAATAATTAGTACATATCAATATGCAAAACTTGAATCGATTAATTTAAATGCTTAAAATTTTTATACTTATCTTCTAAATAACACGAATAAGAAACTTGAATCACTCATTTTAAGTACCCAGGTTAAGATTACTTGTTGTATCTATTAATTCAATACAAATAAAAAAAATAATTAGCACATATCAATATGCATAAACTTGAATCGATTAGTTTAAATATTTGAAAGAAATTTTTATACTTATCTTCTAAATTGACTCGAATAAGAAACTTGAATCGCTCATTTTAAGTACCTGGGTTAAGATTACTTTTTGTATCTACTAATTCAATACAAATAAAAAATAATTAGTACATATGCATAAACTTGAATCGATTAGTTTAAATACTTAAAATTTTTATACTTATCTTCTAAATGACGCGAATAAGAAACTTGAATCGCTCATTTTAAGTACCCAAATTAAGAGTATCTACTGAATTATTAATAAAAGTAAAATTTAATTCATATATAAATTTAGAATCTTTTCGTCATTATGAAAAGAAAATTGGAATCCATTTGAAGACGTTTATATAACATTGCCCTAATTCAAACTACATGGTTATTCGTAAAACAAGAAAAGGTGCAACAGGCTCTGAAGTACTCTTCCGACTCAAAAATGTGTAAATTGACACTTTCCCTTTTTAGATAGTGTGAAATGATAATAATAAATAATATGTGCCGCTTGCGCCTTTTAAAGTATACTGTATGTCGCGTTTGTGATACTGTATTTGTTAAATAGAAGGAATATGGAAAATAAGTTAGATAAGTGTCATATAGTAGAATGTATTGTTATTGACTAATTGTACAAAGGTAATTTTTCGTCTAACTCATCGAGTTCGATCGAAGGGAGAAAGAGTAAAATTTAATACTAATCCGATCCCTTAAATATATATATACCACACTGATTAACCTCATGATCTAATAACACGTGAAAATCATGAACCAGGTTCACAATTGTTCATATATTAATATTAGAATAGTTAGTAAAAGTAATAGTAATATAGAAAATTAGAGTACTATATTATTACCAAAATATGAGACTTATTTCAATGTCCAGTTCGTGATCCCGTGATTGCTGCGGCAAAATCTTCTGGTAAAGAACCCAATTTCCTGGATCAAATTAAATCCACACCTTGAACGAAGAATCTTAGTTATTAAGTTGTGCCAAAAAAGAATTGATTTAATTTGCGTTGCCACTACTCCAAAAATTTATGTATATTAACCCATAAAATTGGTTCCAAACTCTAGTTCTATAAATATCCTTGGTTAGAACAATTGTTAATCACACAATACATATTTGTTTACAAATATATGAGACTGGTTCTAGTTTAGTTGAGCTCAATACAGATAATACTATAGTATTTCCCAATTTCTCACATATTTAAGTTACAATATTTGCATAAAGATGTATGATGCTATATGAAAAAAAGACAGATACATTTTCACTCTTTCATATAACTACACACTTAGTTGAATTGTATTTCTTGAATACATTAACAGTAAATGTTTCATGAAATTTTCTTAGATAAACCCTACCCTTACGTAAATATCCTAAACCTTAAGTCTAATAAATTTCTATTCTCGCTATAATCCTAACACAATCCTTTGGAATTTTTTGATGTTCAAATTAAAAAAAATGATACTGAACATACATGATAATAATATGATTGCACTATATATTTATTATAGTTAAATTCGATGGTTATGATAATGAAAAGTCTTATCAATAATATAACATAAAACCCTTCCAATTATCTTCATGTAAAACTCTTATGAATCTCTAAACTACGTTATAAAAAAAATTATTCATGAAATACTGATTATTGTTATCATTGTGAAAGTTTGCTAAGCAAGAAAAGTGACATGCAGTACAAAGTGTATTTTGGGAACTTCGTTGAGAACAGAAATCAGATAAATGTGATACCACCTTGTATCTAACTCAGCTTGTTTCTCAAAGATTGGACATCTTAAAAGAGCATCAATACGCTTGGTATCTTTTAGCCAATCAATCCAAACAAATGAGTAGACAAGTCCATCATTATAATTATGTGTAAAAATTGCCTGATAATCGCATATAACTCATTTTCTTCTTCTTTGATGAGTACAACATCACCAATGCGAAGTCTGATATGTGCGTAGAATTCTCCATCATCATCTAGAAGCATATACTAGATGTATCGATATAGTTTAATAAAACGTGTTGTAATATATTGGCGCCATTGTAAATATTCAGCATATGCAACAAAAAGGTTACTCTTTAAGATAGCGTTATCATCAAGGCAACTTGATAATCATAGTGACCGAATTTCAGCAGGAGTCAATTGTTGCCGGACTCGAATATTGATAACTCGAGCATCTTCTGTATCTAGAAACATACAATAGCATTGTTACTGTATATTTCAAATATGTAATGAACAGTATTGACCAATATATGAAACATTATATTATTGCAAATATTTATTACTATTATTAAATAAATTTGTTACATATGAGGGTAAAGGTTTAAATATATATTTATAATAAGTTAATATGATTAAATATAAAAATATGTATAATAGAGCAATAGAACAATAAAATATAATAAATAAAATTTCCAACAGAAAATAGAATGCCCAGAGACTAAGCAATAAATATAGATTTAAGAGAAATTAGTTTACCTTTAGAAGCATTTTGAGAATACAAATCTTCAGTCATATACCATCCCGTGAGAAGCAGCTGAAGATGTTAATCTATAACAATACTTCTTAAGCCGTCTCTAATATTATTTTCAATGAATCGATCATCAACTCCACCATCAATTATATACTGAATAGCTTGTAGAACGTTTGTGCATCATAGTAAATCCAATTCTACATTTTTCCGATTAGTTTTGAGAACGACTTGTTTGAAAATTTTGTGAACCATTTCTTTGACAGCACAATTTGAATTAACTAACGTCCTGTAATTTTTGCAGTTTTGACTTAAATGAAAATTGATGTGAAGGTTTGGTAGATTTTCAAAATCTTCGGGAAATAGCTATTATAAAAATCAGTTAGAATCTTTTGAATTATTTGGGGCATTGTCAGTCAAAACGAATCATTGTGAAAATGTAATTTATTATTGTTTATTAATAAGCTATATAGTTTAGAAATTACATTAATAAATCTGCTTATTAAATTTTTTTAATACGTACGTATTATTTTGATATAACAATACTGATAGCCTTTTATAGAATTAGTAATAACATATACAAGTATAATCATGGCTTATTTTTAATTGACGACACCCCATTTATTGTTATACATTTTAAGCTAAACAAACATAATAATACCTCTATTAAAATGCGACGTTCTTCCATAAGTATGTCTTGAAGATGATTTAGATCACTTTGAATTAACTTTAACTTAAAACAGTGAGCCGCAGCATCCACTACAATTACCCAACTTGAAATAATAGTATTAATGACTTGATTTGTGGATCGTTTAGATGGCAAGCGATCACGTAAAACTGTAAAATCGGTTGAAGTAATATTATCTGCATTTAAAAAACTCTTAAAATAAATGGCATCAACATTGCAAGCTGCAATGCATCTGAAAACATGAAACTCTTAAGATGGATAATGGGATTAGGCAAGCCATGCCAAGTAGACAGTTTTTCAAAGGACTTCCAATATTTTAAAAACTGCTTTTTTCCTTGTTCATTTAACAAATTGAGTGTGCATTCTAATAATCTTTGAATCTTACCAGCAACTGTATGGTAAGAATCTTGAGGCGTCTGTACATGGTGGTCACATGACAACGTTGATAGAATGCCCGGTTTTGAACGAAGACCATAGCATTTTGTGAAATCTTCAATCTCTTTTCGGGTTACATTTTTATCTTTTAATGTCTGTAACTTAATAAAATGGTCTTTAGTGATATGATGAAAACATGCAAAACGTATTCTATCAAAAGTAATATCGGTCAGTCGATCTTTTGGAGCAAGACAATTCTGACACTCATAAAGAGCACCTTGTTTTTTAATATCGCTAAGATTATTGCCCTGCGGCAAGTCGGTCGTTACTAATCCAAAAGAAGCAATAACCTAAACTAATTCATTATTCATCTTCATTACAATGCCTTTCTCTAATTGACGAAGTTCTTGAAGTAAAGGATACATCACATCATCAAAGCGGCCTTTGAATGATATAAAACCAACTATAAAATGATTTTTTAACTGTTTTCTTAAACTAAAAGGCATATTGCCTATTTGCATATAAATGCCTCCTAATGTGTGATAAGTATTACGAAAAGTGCCAAAGGCATCATTATAAATATTGATTATAAATTTAAATGTTTTCATATTATGCAAAGCCGGTAAATTTGTAATAATATATTCAGAAGGATGACGGTGGTGTAAATGTATTGGTCAGATGTAGATTCGCCTAGTATTACTATCTTGATATAAAATCTCAGATACACAGAAATCATAGAATGCAGGTTGGAAAACATCTTGAAACCATATAGAAACATATTTTAGGATATAAATAGGTGAAACAATCTGATAATCCTCTTCGATCATCCAAAGTTCTTTATGCCCTCGAAGACTTCTATCTTTACTACAATAAATTCCTAATTCGTCATACCTTAAAAGTCTTGACATTTTTAAAGCATCTTGCATTTGGTTATTTGGATCAATAGTTTCAAATGGTGGTAAGAATGAAACAATGGCTTCAATTCTTCCAAAGCGTCTTTCGTGCTGATTCTCTTTATTGGTATAGATAAACTCTACGAATTGCCCAATACTGTATTCAACCAAAAAAAAATTAGAATAGAGTTAGATGTGTGAGCATTGTTCTTGACACACCTGATCCTTTTTTTTTTGACTTCCCTTAAAAACATCAGTTTTGACCTATAAAAAATGCTTATTATTACTGGTATGAGTTGTAAACCCTGTTTTTTTTAATTAGATACAATTTTTAACTTAAGACTTATTATTTTAAATCCAAAGTTTATACTAATTAGTAAATAATAAAGAACAAAATTACAAGGGCATATTTATTTAAAATCGAAACAATTATTGGTTTATTTAAAAATTTGTCTTAATAATCGTATGTGTAAAGAAATAGGGTTTAACTAACAAAAAAAGGTGAGATAATTTCATATTGAATAATTCTTTAATTATTATAATGGCCACTTAATATCTT